TGATAGTGTCTTATGAAATGAAGAATATAACTAACTGAGTCGACTGCACCCATCTATCCTTCACTCAAATACTGAAAGAGAAAATATTGGTTAATATTTTTATGGTGTTAAGGTAAGAAAAGACTTTCTAAACATGATGCTAAGGACAAAGACTATATAGGAATAGGATGATAAAGCTAATGACAAAATATTTTTTAAATTGTGGTAAAATATAAATAACATAAAATTTACCCTCTTAACCATTTTTAAGTGTACAGTTCAGTCACCTAAAGGACATGCAGATTGTTGTGCAACCAATCTCCAGAACTCTTTTCATCTTACAAAACTAAAACTCTGTACCCATTAAACAACATCTTCTCATTTCCCCCTCCTCTCAGCCCCTGGCAACTACCATTCTACTTTCTGCCTTTATAAATTTGTCTACTCAAAGTATCTCAGATAAGTGGAACTGTACAGCATTTGTCCTTTTGTGACTGGCTTATTTCACACAGCGTAATGTCCTCAAGGTCATCCATGTTGTAGCAAGTGTTAGAATTTCCTTCCTTTTTAAGGCCGAAGAATATCCCATTATATATACATACTACATCTTGTTTATCCATTCATCTATTGATGGACACTTGGGTTAGTTCCACGTTTTGTCTACTGTGAATATTTGTCTATTGCTGCTATGAACAGGAACGTACAAATACCTCTTTGAGATCCTGCTTTCAATTCTTTCGGGTATAGATCCAGAAGTGGAATTGCTGAATCATACGGTAATTCTATTTTTAATTTTTTGAGGAACTGTCGTATTATTTTCCATAGTGCTGCATCGTTTTACATTCCCACCAACAGTGCACAAGAGTTGGAGTTTCTCCATATCCTTGCCAACAGTTGTTATTTTCTGGGTTGTTTTTTTTTAGTAGCCATCATAATGGGTGTGAGGAACATAAAATATATTTTTAAAAAACATACATGAAATTTTAGAAACATCTAAAAATCTGGGGAAAATGTTAGCAAGATACATGGTTTATATTTCTAATAAATAAAAGACTCAATAAGAAAAAGATGAATAGGAATTAAAAATAGACCATGGATATAAATGACAACTTATTAGAGAAGAGCACAAATAGACTACAAGTAGCTCATAAACATGCATACATGTTCCTCCTTTTCAGTAATTAGAGAAACGTAAATTAAAACAAGATGATGCCATTTAGAGCATGTCAGTTGGCAAAGATGGAAAAAAATGGTAATACTCAGTGATGCTGAGCATGTGGGGAGCAGGTGCTCTCAGACAACACTGGTTGAGGAGAGAAGAGAAACTCTAGTCGTCTTCAAATGTTCATTCTCCCCATTTTCCTTGGTAGTTGAATCCATTATTTTTTTAAAAAAAAGATTTTATTCTTTTACTTTTTCTCCCCAAAGTCCCCAGGTACACAGCTGTACACTCTTCATTGTGGGTCCCTCCAGCTGCGGCACGTGGGACGCCGCCTCAGCGTGGCCCGACGAGCAGCGCCCTGTCCGCGCCCAGGATCCGAACCAACGGAACACTGGGCCGCCTGCAGCAGAGCGCGCAAACCCAATCACTCAGCCACGGGGCCAGCCGCCTGAATCCATTACTTTTTAAGCCAACTACACTGTTGCTTGGAACAGAGACAAGATCCCAGGTTCTAGCTGTGACCGGTTTTGGCTGATGAGATAAAAGTGAAAGTGTTGTGTAGGAATTCTGGGAAGCTTCCTTAAAAGAAAGGAGAAGGGTGTCTATTTTTGCTCTTCTGCTTCTTCCCACTGCTTTAATGGAATATAACTGTGATGGCAGTCACTCCAGTAGCCATCTTGGGCCACAAGGTAACTTTGAGGATGGAAATAGGGTGGTACTGGTGCTAGGAAAGAGAGACCTTGAGCATAGATTTAGGTGTCTGAAACTTGGCCTCCTGGCTCCTATATAGCCACCTACAACCAGAGGTCTCCATTCAGCCACAAACTGGCAGTGGAAAACTCCCATTACAGACAGGTGAGCAGGGGCAGTCACATATCTCTAAGGGGACCCCTGACCTTCATAAGCCTCCATCCCCTCTGAAGATGACCAATGTTGCCTGAAACAAATATTATAATAAAAAAGTATTATCAAAAGTTCATAAAATGCAATATGTGTAATAGAAATTTAAATGATTTAGCTTTCCACTGCTCTGTTTTGTAAAATTTTAGCAAATAGACTTCTGAAGTTATTAAAGCTTAAAGCTGCACTAAGACTTGTGGAACGCCTCATGTGACAGGTAGCACTTCCTTTGACATTAGTTTCACTTTAGCTACTCGTGCACATGTGTGGGTGATATACTTTCCGTTTCTTCCGAAAGCCTTTCTGTTCCTTTTTAACTGGTGCTCTATGCACGTAGAGAGCTGCTAACGTGAACTCACTCCCTGCTCTCCAAAGTCATACTATTTCCAGGAAGTTACGAATGAGGTTGTTGAATCAAAGCAAAGGCATGGGAAGAGGTTTAAAAATGGGGGGACTGGTGGGTTTGTTTGGCCTGGAGAAGACGAAACTCAGCACAGGATAGCATCTTTAAATTCCTGAGGGGCTCGAGAAGCAGAGATTACATAAGGAAGTGCTTTCTATGAATAAAAGCTGTCCGTCCAAGAACAGGGCTTTCTTGAGAATTCGTGAATTCCCTGCTTCTCCTGTAGAGGACGTTGCTCCAGTGGGCTGCACCAGGTCAAGGTCCCATGATGCACTGGGGTTTTGTGACTGACTAAACACACAACTGCCTTATCAAAGGATGAGAAGAAGATCTCAGTGGGAATTGAGTGTCTGAGGAGGAAGCTTTGCAGCACACTCCTGGCAGCATGTGGGGAGTAAGTCTGGGGTGTGAGCTCAATTTCCTTAATGCCCTACTTTCCAGTTGACCATCAGCGCCGGCTGGACTGCTCTACCCATTGTCTTCCAGTCCCTCTCTGCCATCTAAACTGCTTTCCTCTGCCTACTCAACCTAACCATTTTCCAACGCCTCTTTCTCCACAGAACCTTCTCTTCAAACTTCATCCTGCAGTTCTCCCCTGCAGCAGTTACTGCGGGTCTGCTTCCACATTACTGGTAGACATCCCCGGGCTCTACACACCTGCCCACTCACCACAGAGCAGTAAGACATAAAAGTTAAGAGAATGGCCTTTGGAGTAAGACCAAAGCTGGAACTCAGGTCCTACCAATAGGTGGTTATGGGTTACCATTACTCAGCTTTGGTTTCCTCATCTGTCAATTGGGGAGGATGATGCAAATGATAGCTCATGTTTGCACCAGGCGCTAAGTGCATCAGATGGATACTCTCTCCTAAAAGGTAGGCACTCTTCATTCTCTTCACCTGACCACCCACAGGATTGCCATGAGGCGTGTGGAGTGCTTCATCCCATGTACTCTCAGCACCATATAAATGCTACCTGTTGTTATTACAAGGCAGGTCATGGGCTCAGACACCGTTACAGCACTGGTAGCCTAACTCCGCCCCTTTCTCCCTACTGGTCGTAACAACCTTCCATGACATGATGGCAAAGTTGAGAACAGCTGGTCTGTACAGTAATTCAGCACTTATTCAAATTCATCCTGGACTGTTATTACTGGGCTGCTCACGTGTCTATGTGTGTCTTGTCTCTGGAGGATAAGAACCATTGTGACACTTCCGGGTACCTCCTCCAGAGACTGATGAGCATCCTGAGTCTACACAGTGATGGTGAATGGAGAATGAGTGTTGGAGGAGGTGAATCCCAGCTTGGGCAATTCCTCCAAGTCAGGTTGGGGAAGCGAGCCTTCCCAGGAGCCAAATGGATGCCTTGGAGAGAAATGACAGTCGGTGGGAGGGACCTCAGATACTGGAGAGCTCTGGGGCCTCACAGCTTCCGAGCTTGCCTTGGCAACAGCTCTTTTCCCTATTCTCTGTTGAAAGGGAATTATGTGACTGCTGGCACTAGGCAATTATCATTTGTGAACAGTTTTTTTCTTGTGTCATGTCAGAGAAAGACACACACAAACCGTGCCTATGAACAGTACATTCAGGAATTATAGGCATAAACCAATCTAGTTTTAAAAATGATGTTGCCATCTAAATTCTATTAACCCTACAATGCAATCTCCCTTAGACCAAAATATTGCAATTTCCTTCTCTTTTCACTTTCTTTTTCCCCAATTTAATTTGATTTTTGCTCTCTTTAGAGGATACACAGTAATCGGGTTAGGCCATCATCCTTTCAGTATTGCCCTTAAAGTTCCTTCTCTTTCTATTTCAGCCCATTCTCTGCTTCTTCCTTAATCCACTTTCTGCCCAGTGAATATTCCAAGAAGAACTGGACAGAGATAAATCATTTTGCCTTGGAAATTTATCAGGTTGAAAAAAATAAACAAGCTGATGCCCTCCAAAACTCAGAAAATCACGTTAGCCTAAGGTACCAAGTCTGTTTATTTTCCTTTATCTAAGGGATAGATTTCATTATGAAACCTGGGCCTGACCGAATGGCCAAAGGAGTCCCTAACGCTAAGGAAGTGCCAGAAATAATAAATGGATGTGTTTGCTGTTGAAATAGTCCACTCTGGGTTTCAGAAGGGATTGTGTTTGTTTTTTTGGAGGATAGTGAATCATATAGGTTTTAAATAATAATTCTGCAACTTCAGCCCTTTTTGAGGGCATGCAGAGTTGTTTGCCAATTCCTGAGAGCCCAGAGAGTAATTGATTTAACAAGACTGAGGCAATATTTCTTTTTATGCAGCTTAAGGTATAAACAAATATTTCCTTTTAACACATTTCTAAAGTTTGGTATAATAACATTCATCAAATTAGATGAAAACAGACATATCTTTTAAAAATCCAGCCTTCTTTCATTCCTTCTTTTTCTGTTTCCAAGAAAATGAAGAATAGAATGAATAAGCTAGAATTGGGCAGCTGATGAAGGCTAAGTGGCTTGTTTATTTCTCTCTTATAAAGTTTAGTTACGTGTTGCCTTGAAAAAGAGAGAGCTCTCTGCCTACAAGATCTAGTCAAAAGTGCCTTTTTTATTCTTTCTGAAAGGAAAACGAAGAAGTAATAACAATACGATGACACTTCCATTCTGGCAAGGCGACCCCATGTATGGTAGTGCAGCTGTGGAGAGTGCCGTGGTCTGGAATCATTCAAAGAAGCATCTTTGGCAATGGGAGCCTCAGTGAAACTCCACAACAAAAAACTCAGGCGATCAGACTCATTTGCTAGCTCCCATGTTCTGGTCAGCCTTTCTACCGTCCTTGGTCTGGCTTCACACACTGGCATACCAACCTAGTAGGATTCTGCCACCCTGAGACAAGACGGATTTGATGTTAGGATGACCTTGAAAGACGTCCTTCTGTTAACAAGCCTGCCAGGTTACAGACATCCTTGGTTACAGCTCAACCAGTGTGGCTTGGAAAAGTCTCCAACCAGGATGACTGGGCATGAATCAGTGGGCGATTCCTGCAGTCAAAAGATAGGGTCCGTGCTCCTCCAAAGGAGAAAACAAGTCGTTTAATCTGCAGGGACAAGATAGAATATGTAAAGGCCCATTGGCAAAATCTTGGTCTCTGTCAAATTTAAAATTAGATGGGTCACTGATAGAGAGATGAATGGATCTCTCCAGATATCAATAAACATAAACCAACAGGACTGTGTCTGTCTGTCTAGTGAGCTATCTCTCTATCACGATATAAATATAGTTCCAATTAATATGTTTTGCTAATACTTATTATACTTTATTTACACAACTTAACTTGGCAAATAATGCCATGATGTTTACTCTAGTTTTTTTAAATGAGCAAAATTAGAAGTAGCTCATCCTTAGGCAAGGCAACAAGCAAAAGTCTGCGATCGAATCACTGTCAATGACTCGTAGCGGGCTGTAGAGAAGACTCTTAGAAATGAAAATTGACTGGAAGAGTAGGCTTGTACACTTTGTGAAGCAGACATGAACACAATTACAATTTGCCTCAAACTTTGCAGGCAATTTACCTTTGGATTGATGTCAAACAGGGAAAATTTCAGCCTGAGGACACTTTTTAAAGAAACTGATCAGTGTTGAAAACAGAGGAAACAGAGAGAACGAGAATGGGTGTGTTAATGGGAACTCCATCTCAGTCATGCCGGTGGTGCTAATGCAAATACGACAGTGGAACGAATATCATTGAAACAGATAATTCTTCTTGTTCCTATTTCCCCACCATTCAACCTGCCAACCTGTCATGATTTGAAAGTAGGAGCTTTCCTCCTCCTTTCTGTTTTCAGTTGACATTTATATCTGAGCACTAAGGTGCTGCCAGAATGTACCTGTGAAATGGCCTGGAAGGGAGGCGTAACAGGCCAAGGTCCACGACCACAAAGAATACGTGAGGATCTTCAGTATAGCTAGAGACCCAGCAGAAAACATACCTCAAAGCAACTTTATCACAAGTGACTATCTTTGTTTATCGAGTGTCAAACTTATTATGATTGGTTACCTTTGTTTAATGTGTCCACCTATTTATTTGTTCAAATAATACATATGTGTCATTAGAGTTATCTGAAACCAATGTAATTCATTCAAAGGGTCCCTGCTGAATCTTCTCTCCATTATCTATCTCTGCTGTCCAGGGAGGGCCTAGGTCACGATGCCATCTGCTATGTCAATAAACAAGAAAAAGGCAGGGCCTGGAGTTAGGTGATATGCTTTCTGTTCTAGTAGGCATGTGCTTTAGTAGGTACGTCTTGGGCCCAGAGCTGAGCCTCCGTCTCTTTAGGTACTGGAGTAAGTAGAAGCAGACTATATAGGCATACACTGATGTCATCTTATCCCTACTTCCATTTTTAAGGGAGAAGTCACGTAGAGTGAAAGGTCCAGTTGGGAAAAGAAAATGAAGGCCAAAGGGACGGGCTGTGGGATTCTACCTGGGGTTCTCATCAATCCTATCTCCTTACTGTGGGGCTATCTCTGTAGTTGTGGGTAGATGGTTTTCTCCTTGGCTTTCAATTCATTCCAGTTCATTCCAATCCAATTTAATTTCTCAATACACACACACACACACACACACACACACTCCCACACTCCCCTCTACCTTTGTCTTCACCTGGGAAAGAAAGAGAAGAGTAGCTGAGGTGAGAGTGGAAGCCATAAGTCAGGCCACAAGGGAAGTAAGAGGCCAGCAAAGGAAGTAGATAAGGCAGCAAGGAGAAGCTTAGGAATGAGGACTGTGAGAAGTACAGTCTTGGGTGAAGCATGGATGACTCAGTGGGTGAAATCACGTGAAAGCTATTTTATCTGCCCAGTCTGTAGTCTCACCCCATTCCTCGTGTTTGTTTTTCTACCTTAGTGGGAATTTGTGCATATGTACTGGGGTAGGGAGGAGAGGATGGTGGGTTTGGACTAGCAGGAACAGAAATATGGGAAGAGGAAAGGAACAAAAGGGAGAAGGGAAAGACTGCTAATGATTCCCTTGATTCTACACTTTCTTGACTTTGCCTCTATGTTTACTCTGCATAATGTGTGATTACAAGAGCAGGTACTGCAGATTCAGCAGCCAAGGCGTGAAAATTGGAATCACTCACCTTCAGAGAAGGACACATTTGTGATAGGATAAATGGAATGACTATGTTCATTCATCAGAGGCTGCTATGCAATGAATTTCCAACTGGTTAACATCTAAATAACAAGGTTTGCTATAATGAAGGCTGAAGGGCACTGGAGTTTGGTTCTTATACTACAAAAAGCATCCAAATTTACACTTATTTTAAACTTGGTAGGAAGTTATTAATAGAAAGAAATAACAAATCCTGACCAGCGGGTCTTCATCAGTGTAGGCAAGTATATGAGAAATCAGTGGCCGAAAAAGAAAAGACTATGGCGAAAAGAGAAAGAAAAGTTGTAGAGATAAACTTTAGTAATGCCTATCCAAGCACCACTTAGGGGAGAAGATGCTCCCAGGCTGGTGTGAGCTGTGTCCCCATCTTAGTGAGGGATGTGTGCAACTATCATACTCTATGCTGTTAAACATTCAATCCAATTCTGATGCCCTGCTCACAAATCCCCCTGTGATGACCTGACTTCCCAGAGAGCTTGCCTCAAAGGAGGAGAGGACACAGTTCTGGCTAATGCAAATTTCTGGGCTATCCAGAGTTACATTTCCTATTGTCGATTAACATGCTTACATGTTATGTATGTATTTTAATATTCTAATTGCAATTCTCCTGAGTCAAAAACGACATCCTACAAAGCTTCCTTCCTTCAGAGCCATACGTAGTAGACATTATCAAGATCAGCAGTTGTTTCCAAATGGGCAGCTCCCACAATCATCCCCAATTTTGGCATCCCCAAAACAATGAAATCAAATTGTATAAGATAAGTCAATTTCGAAGGCACCTTAAGTGAGTCATTTCGCAGGGCTGACTCAATTGGTTATGTATTGGTTTTGAATTTACATACCACATACTTTACTTTCCATTGCTAGTTTCATCTTGCTCTTTAGCCTCCGTTTATGCTGATGGCACAAAACGTGAGCTTGTCATCCCTTCTAGCTTAAAGTCATCTCCTTGGGTTAACTCTCCATTCTTTCAAGATTTCTCCCCTGTTTGGTTGGTGGGGCCGTTCTCTGGGTCTTCCCAGAATCTGTGGTGGTGTTGCTTGACCCACCTGTTCTTTTGAGCATCTAGCTGGCACCAGTGCCTAAGACTCTGGGTGTGGCCATTGCCTCTAGGGTTGAAGTCTCCACCCTCTGTGGCCTCTTCATCCCAACCCCAGCCTTCTTTCAGCAACCAAATCTCTGAGAATATCGAGAGCTCCCGAGGAGGTTCTAAGGCTCAGCTGCCAACCCCTGAGCTGTAGGTCTTGTACCCCTCCATGCCATGTTGGGTGTAGAGCCATGCCACTCAATTCAGCTTTTATTCCAATGCATGGCTGGATAGATCTTTTAAAAAGTCAGATGCTTTTTCATCATCCCTTCCCCTGAAGTATTCAAAAGCTCACTATTGCTTTTAAGACAAAGTTTCTTAACAGGGCCAATGGAGCTCTGCACAAGTTGCTCCTGCCCTGTTCCCACCCTCATTAGGCTCTATATTCTCTCTGACCCCTGACTTCTGCTGCAACCCCACTGACTCTCTTTTGGTCTGTACTATCCACCATGCTCCAGCCCACCACAGGGACTTTACACGTGTTGCATCCTCTGCCTTAAATGTTCTTTCTTTCCTCTTGCCTGGTTAACTATTATTCACCCTTCAAATCTCAATTCAGCCATTAAGTATTCAATGGATGAATGCACTGCTAAGGTACTTAGACATATCCTTTTCATGCCAAGGGTTTCAAAACTGTTTTTAGCAGCTATCATCTTATTTCTTAGTGAAGCAGGAGTAGAGGACCAAAACTCTGCCCTTCACTTCCTCCTTGCTTTCAGGCACTGTCTTAGACCCCAGGACTCTGACAACCATAGTGGGAAAACCACTGCTTTCAGCAATAAAGAGTCCTTTGAAGAAGAGGAGGGCATGAGGACACCTATGCTTTAGGAAGATCACTCTTGCAGCTGTACAAGTTTTATCAAAGTGGGTATCATACATCTCTCATATACAATTTCAGATATTTTCAGTCTCTCCTTTCTCTTGTTCCAGCTGCAGCCATGTCAAACAACTCTACATGGGCTCTGGCTGAGCTAATGAAGGTACATCCTAATGGTTGCTTGCTTCTTCCCAGGGCCACATGCCTCTTGCCTCCCACTGTGGAGTCTCCTTGTTGATATCAAGGTGGGATGCTTCACAAGATCCTGCTCGACACTCAAAATGCTCACCCTGTACATTCAGGAACTTACCACCCCATGAGCAGGAGTTCTCCCTTTTTCTCCTAGAAGGTTGGTCCTCAGATGGAACTTATGTGGCTTTTCAGAAGATGTTTTTCCAGAATCAAGCAACCAGTCGCTCTTAACAATGGCCAGTGTGGTCATACATCCTATGTCGACTCTCCCTCCTTCGATGTCTCTCTCTTTGTCCTTCACTACTGTTCCCTTGGTATGTGGTCCCTAAGAAAGCAACAGCTTCTACCTCTGGCTAAGACAGAGGGCCAAGACTCCAAGGCAGAATGACTTCCAGCAGGTTCCAGTTAGTGGAAGTCCATCCCTGCATCTGGATAATTGGTGGTTTGCCAATAATTCATGTGAAAGACGACCTAGGTCTCATCACAAGGAGTGGCTATGGGGATGGAGAAAAAGCGGTAGACTAGAGAGATATTTCGGAAGGAGAAAAGGTAGAATGTAATGACCAGTTAGATTTGGTCTAGGATGACTCCCAGCTTTCTAGCTGGTCCTCTTGCATAGGAAGATGGAAGTTTAGTTTTGCAAATGTTGTGCTTTTGGTACCTGTGACCTTAAAGATGTAAGACTCATGGGGATGCCTGGAGTCAAAGAGAGTAGGGGCTGGATCACCCACAAAAAGCATGTAGAATAAAAAAAAGAGCCAAGGAAGCCTCTGTGGGGTGAAGTGGGGTAGACCAAAAAAGAACAGCTATGGAAGAGGAAGGTGAAGT